CCTCTACATATAAACAATAACTTATATCAAATTCATAGGTTGAATCAAATTGAATCATCATTTTGATTTTAAATATTATTGTCAAATTAAAATAACTTATTAACTTTCTTAAATCACATTCTGATTTGCTTCTATATAAAGTGAAATCTGAGTGTATTAGAAAACTATAATATTATAATGATAAACTCGCAAAATAAAGAGGTTTATCTAATAATCAAACGATATGTTCATTTTATGTTATTTTTATTTTACCCATAAAAACGATAACTACAACACATATATATTTTGCATAATATAGTAAAAACAATTAAAATTCCACAAACTTATTCATTTATTTATAACTTTTTATAATTAGTAATTTGAATAATTAGGATCTATAGGTTGATTTCGCTTATGACCGTTATTTTTTCTAATTAAAGTAGTTTTATTATTAACGAAATTATATTTATTCAACTAGGAAGAAGGACATATACATTTATTAATTTAAATGTAAATGTTACTGATTAGTTTCAAATTAACTTAAAGATTACTTCCGGTGGCAATCGCAAGCTCGACAACCGAAATACCGTCAATCAAATTCCCGACGTTTGAAATGTCGACTGTATCGAAATCCCGACTATATCAAAATCCCGACAACCATAATTTCGAAAGTTGGGATTTCTATACTGTCGGGATTTCAATAGACCCGATTACTTCTACTAAAAAGATTCATATTTTTTTTTTGTTAATTTTAATACAAGTCGAGAAGGCATAAATCGGTAACCTTTGTTTTGTCTGTTATTTGTGCTTATAAATAAAGTAATAAATAGGAATTGTATCTCGCAATTCTAGACGCTTTCATAATAAAAATAAATATGACTGACAGTCACAACATCCAATGACGCATCGTCGACAACGCAAGTAAACAAGCAATAAAAGAGATTGAAGTTTAGGCTTATTCGAAGTTTTTGTTTACCATTGAAATGTATCAATACAATTATTTATAAATAATAATCATATTTATTGTAATAATAAATTCAAAATAACAATTATCCCTACCTTTTATATAATAAATTACGCGTGTAATAAATTAAGAAAAAAAAATCAATAAAACATAAATTAAATTTGTCCTTTTACCTGAATGATCGAAGTGTATCAAGGACAAAGTTACAATCCTCAATTAATATTATTTTTATAATGATAGTATTAGTTATATCAACAGTAACTTAATGTATTTTTATTTCTAAGCATCAATATATGTTTATGATTCATAGCTTGTATAATTTGGGTGTAAAGTGAACTCAACACTTTTTACCTGAATTTTTGTATGGTATTAGAAGAAACGTATACTCATTTTGAAATACTTGTATAATTTTATGATCCATTTGTCAATCAAGTTCTTGTAATGTGATTAGAAATTAACCTATTTCTATCATCTTAACACTTTTTACTAGAATTATCGAAGAAAGTTTATGCTTCGAACAAAACATCAACTTAATGATTTTAGTATTTTAAATACACTCAGCAGTCGAATAACGACCATAATGCGAACACAATTTGTTTCACTTTTGGTAAATGTACATATTTTTTGGCCAAATGCATGACTATCAACACAATTCGGGCGTTTTGGTAAACTTTGTTCGCACTAACGTACATTATATATACATGTATTCTATTTATTTTTTTACATTTTTTAATCAGTAATTGTATTATAATGTACGTTCCTTTTTTTTAATGTGAAATAAAACTATTTTTTATATATAAAAATGAACTTTAATCAATTGTAAATTTTCCATTTTGTTCCGTGATCTTTTTGACAACTTCATGTTTGCTAGACCTTAGCATCAAAAAAACTAAACCAAGTAAGATTTATGGTCATCCTAATTATTGAAAGTTTTACCATACTTTTTTTATGGATTTCAGCTTTCTGCATATTGTTTGCGCTGGTTCATGACGCTTGGATCATCATTTTTGATTGATGTTATTGTAGACGATCCATTTTCCATTACTAGAGATCATTTATTAAAAAAAAGTGACGATTTCATTGCATTTCAATTCATGGGAATATCGAGATTCTTGACGATTCCAAGATATTTAATTGATTTTCAGTTGTGTGTGAAACATTTAACCTCTATGTAATCTCTTGTACAGTTATATCATGAACCGATTCAATTATTAATTTGATTTGGTCATCATAAACTTCAGTAGATTTTTCATTTAAAGATTGTTAGTGATCTGTTAACGATTTTAAAGAAAATATGGGTTTTATGTTGCTCAGTTTTTTTTAATATAAAAATGTAAAAAACATTCAACTAAGTGAAAAACTTTAAATAAAATATTAAACTGTATGACTGTGACTAACTACAATTTTTCAAGTTGATTTAAAATAACAAGTAACACATACAGTTTGTAGCAATTAAAATATTGCAATTATTCTTTCTTTGTAGGACTCTATTAAGAATTTTTTTTATTATCAGAAAAAAATGTACATATTTTTCTTTATCAAACCATGATATATGCAGAAGCAAACCGTATGAAAATATTAAATTTGATAAACAAGACCGACCATTCATCTAGTGTAGATGAATATCGTAATAACAATTTCCGACATATATAATTGAGAAATTCCAGTATAACTTGTCTTAAGATCTGATATAGTGCTGGTGGTATTAAATTTACTTGAATTTATCGCCTCCCTTCACACAGCTCAGTTGGGACTTGACCTCTGAACCTCTGCGCAAATGTAAATCTTAAAAAAAGTACTCGCATTGTCCTATACTATATTTTTACAAATGCAGCAATAACTGTGACTGTTTGAAAAAGAATTAATCGAGGAATTCAATGAAATAGAAAGAGATCGAAAAAGAGATGTAAAATTAATTGTGTGTATTAATTTCTCAATTAAAATATAGTTTATTTTGAAATTATTAAACCTGACTATAGTGAAACAGGACTGATTGAAGCCGCACTATGCGAGATATTGCTGTACCATTTTTTTTTCTATAAACAATTTATTATAATACTATTTGAATTTATCAAGCATTTCTTTTAATAATATAAAGGAAATATTAATATTTATCAATTAAAAACTGATGTATTCTTATATCTTGAACTCAACCTCAAAAAAAAAATGTTAAATCTATAGTAGAGAGTACTACAAATTACAGTAGATCTTCAGTTTCCGAGTGACTCGGTTCCCGAACATAATACCAAATCAAAACGATTGCTTTCGAATAAATTTTCGGTTATCTAACAAACATACAATTTTTTAATTGAAACTAACTTTATATATTCGTATAATATCTTGAACTCGGAATCGAAAAATTGTTAAAATTTTAATTCAGTATAATTCAAAATACAGTAGCTAAGGATTTGCTGTATTTTTTGATTGACTCGGTTTCCGAACAAAAAAAAGAAATAGGTTTTCAAACAAAATTACGGTTTTCCAGCAGACTAACTGGAAACCAGTTATTTATTCATTTCCTCATTTGTATAGCGATATTCTTTTAAACATACAAAATAAATTAAAAAAATAAAGTATAATAATAAGGTTTTACTACATATTTCCATATAGATCAGTCGGGATTTTGATACTGTCGGGATCATCGTTGTCGGGATTTTAAATGTCAAGATTTCTATACCGACTTACAAGATTTAAAAATATGGTTGATCTTAGATTAAAATAGAAATTAGAAAAATGGAGAAACTGCATTATCTGTTATGATGAACATATTAGTCAATGTGACAAATAGAATATATTGTAAATTATCTTGGTTTGTTATGGATAATTTGATTACTATTGTCGTTGAATGAACGTGACTGATCTCGTGGGTGACGACCTTAAGCGAAGCACGTTTATCGCAGTTTCATCACAGCTCGGTTACGTTACAATACCACGAATGATCTTAATGCTATGGCATTAGTAAATACACAGTATTTCCACCAGTGTCGGATTGTCTATAAAGCTGCACAGTTGCTGTATAAATACTATTTAATATTTTTTAGAAATGAACGATGAGAAGCTATTTTCAATTAATGCTATAGTAATACTACCTTTATATATTCTTATGAAACTCGCAAAATTGTTAAAATAATAACTAAAAGTAATATAAAATACAATAGATTATTACTTCTCGATTAACTCGGTTCCCGAACATATAAAAAACATAGGGTTTCAAACAAAATTACGATTTTCCGTAGTCACACCTCAACTTATTTTCATGTATTGCTTTTCTAAAACTCGGTATTTGTATATAAATATCGTTGCAAAATTTTTATGAATACCATAAATTTTACTTTATTTACAATTATGGATATTTTTTAACATAATAATTGATTATTATATGAAATTATGTATTTTTTTAGGTCTATATCAAATAGTAAACTTTGTTATTCTTTACTTCATTTTATACAAATGAAAGTTAGGTAGTCCGGTTTGCAAATAAAATTTTAATTAAGCAAAATATAAATAATTTTTTAAACATTAATAACAAACCTTTTTTTTATAAATAAATGTCCTTCTTTCTTTCATACATACAGTATTTAGTTCCTCAATTAGTCCGGTTTGTGATAGTCTTGGCGGAAGTGATTACCCGGACTATGCGAGGTATTGCTGCATTTATATATAAATACAACAATAAATCGTATTTAAATAATAGAATTGGATAAAAGAAGTGATGCATTACAGGTGTAGTTCCATCGAGATTTCACCTGAAGTTGTGTAGTAAATGGGCAACACGTAACATGTAAAGTTAATAATATTGAGTGTTGTATGACCGGATGCGAAAGGAGGCTCCAGGTTGGAAGTGGCTCCAATGTTTTTAATAATTCAGCTCGCAATTTCGTCCCGATTGATGAAATGGAGTCGTTGCAGTACTCAAAGTAATTACCGTCCTCAATATTTGAGACCCATCTACCTCCACTCGTCTCGCGCCTTCCAACCACCAGAATACCTATCACCATTATTGTTGTTATTACCTAGACTTTAACGTTTATTCTTGTTTTGTTTTTTTTATTTGCAGGTTGGCCGCAGCACAGGAGGCGGCGGCTCAGGCGGTGCAGCAGCAGGCGGGGGCGGGCGCAGCTGATAGAATGGGGGGCGCTAGGGAAGCGAGCGGGCAGGGGCCCAGCTCGCTCTTCCTGTTCTCCAAAGACAACTTCATCCGTAGAACCACGCGCATCATCATCCAGTGGCCATATCCTTTTTTACTACACATATATATACATATAAGTATACATAGAAATATATAACTCTTCAGCAGCGGCGGCGGCGGAAACACATAAGTATGAATTATTGACCACATCCTGTCCCGCAACCTGCCGTTTGATGCAATCGCGAAATTCTCTTCACGAAATCATCTATTGGCAATCGATTGAGGCAACATTCGATTTAAAAATAGAAAATGCATGCATTGGAAGTATTCATAGGCATCAATACTATGAGACACAAAATACAAAGATAGTTATGTTTTGTATACTTTTTCCCATTTAACTTTATTTTTTTAACTTAAAGACAAAAATTAGCTAATTGTCATCAACACTGATATGAGTTATCATATTCATAATTAATTATGTGTATTTTCAATTTAACTTTCATTTTACAAAAGTATTAATAACAATATAATAATAAATTCAAGTTGTAGTATGTTCAGGAAATATTCCTCAGAATTCATAGTATATAGTCATCAACACTATGCGAAACTAATTTTACAATGAAATTGAAATGTTTATATCAAACAGAAAATATTCCAAGACATCTGAAAAGTAGACACCATTTTTATTATATAAAATTATCAAATTGAAATTCCTACGCATTCTAGTAGAATTATTCTTAAGACATTTAGTTTAGAAATATTTGAAATTTAAGGAGAATAAATTAATTCAAATAAAGTTATGAAAAATATATAAATCTAATAAATTAGTTCCTTCCTATTTTTATATAAATCAGTACATTTGATATTAATAAAAATAGTATCTAAATTATCTATAATTTTTAGTATCTTTTGCAAAATTATGGATATTATAAATGTACCGAGTACATTAGTATAATTTGTTATTTTTTCATATGACCCTGAACGACACAAACAGAATTAGGTTTAAGTTCGATATATGTTATGATATATGAAATGTATTCAAATTAAATTAAAAGTAAATGAGTAAAATTTTAATTCTAAAAAAATTAACCAACGTTTTTGAATGTATATGTTGTTGCATGTGTTAATTTTACAAATAATTCAATTAATCAAAGAACTCGTAGATTTATAATTTCATCATTGGAAAAAATGGAAACATTATAAAAGTATGTTGAATGTTTACATATATTTAATTAATACTGCAAATTATATAAAAATAATTAAAATTTAACATAGTTAACATATCGTTAACAAATTATCTTAATTCATTTTTATAAGAAATTCAAGTTTTTTTTTAATTATTAAAAGTTTTTTTTTGCTAAAAATTACATCATTTATAAAATAAAGTTAAATATATGATCACAAAAAAAATTGATAACATTTAAAAATATACATATTTTATAATAAATTGTTATTGTTATCTACATACATGGTAGATTTATGTAACTCGTAAATAGGATTGTCAAACATATTTTAATCTAGTGGAAGAATCTAGATTCCGCGTTCCACTTCAATTTGTCAAGTGCATTTTCTATCTCGTTCCACATACACTCATATATATATATATGTAATATATATACTTGTGCAGATAGCTAACGTCAATAACCGGTGTTGTTCGGTTCAATTGTTCCACAAACGTGACGATCATAAAAAGAAGAGTCTTTGTGACTTCTTCGGCGAAATGAAAGAAGGACATAAAAAAAAGATAAACCATGGTTGAATAATTAAAAAAGCTGTTTTCTGCGAAGAGGAGGCGAAAGTAAATGAGGACTTGATATATTGCGGGTGGCGGCGTTTTTGACGCAAGCATGACGCGCGACGGCGGCTGTCGGTACTGTATTGTGGATGAATGCGTGCGAGACGACGACGTATTCAGCCGCCCCCACCGAATATGGCAATGCGACGAGGGGGGAAATCGCCCCCGTAGCCCGGATGCGCCCGGCGCAGCCACCCGATAATGTCAATCCGAGGCTTTTGCTCGGTTTGTGTCACTTTCAGGGCCGATTTACTTTCAATATGCGATTTCTATGGGTCGCATAGAAATCGTGTCTCCTAAAACTGAATATATACCATACATTGCCCTTCCAAGTTGTGTTATACTATATGTTGTTTCTCAACACTTTGCAATCCATAAGCGATTCAGTTACGTATTTGATTATTAGAAGTAATTAAGCATTTCTTTGTCATTAAGTGATGGTAAAAATAGAAGGATTTATGAAGAAATAGATGAAGATAGTAGTTGACCCATTTCTTGTTTCCGGGAAACGAAAAATTACCCGAGAAATCGTAAAATGTTAAAATAAATGCCAACATTGTAGTGTTGACTAAATAGAAAATAATTATATCAATAAACAGATTAAAGAGAAGCACAACAACATAATTATAAATGCTTTAAATTTTGTGTGCAAAACCAATAAAATTATTAATTAACCTATTGTTTTTATAATATATTATATGTCTAAGGGATCTTGATTTACGATTTACTACAGCAAGCTGCTAGTGTAGTATACATTTTTAGATTTTCATACAAGATTTACTTGCAAGATTTATTATATCACAATTAAATAAATAAATCCATAGTATTTCATGTATGTGACTAGTATTGATCTTAATGATAATATTGATCCAGCAGACTGAAAGTAAATTCCAATATTTATATTATTATAAATGTTTATCTTTGTGATTTCTTCAAACAACTTCTATATGAATTGTATTTTGACAAACTATATAATTTCAGTAAAACTTGGACATAATAAAAAATCTATTAATCGTTCACTCTTTAAATTAGCATTCCATTTATAAACCTCATATTTCTTCAGAAAAACTTCCATTTTTATCACTGTTAACCCAACAAAAGCATTTATAAATGCAAAAAGTAATCGTCTTTCATCCTTTTATTTCTAGTTTCCTTTTGGTCAATATTTCTGTTTCTGTGTCTGCTTTCTTTTTCCAATTTTTCTATACAGGTATATTTAATACTGATATTTCCTTAACGCCCGTCTTCACTCCGTTTGAGTATGCCGTGCTTTTGACAATCATAGCAAACTGTGTGGTGCTGGCGCTGGAAGAGCACCTGCCCAATCATGATAAGACTATGCTAGCACAACAATTAGTAAGTATACTTTTTTTATTTTTTTTTTGTATTTTTTTGTTGTCTCCTCTAAAACATTTCAGAGATGGCACTTCACGTTACAACACTGTACTGTTAATGGGAATTTTGCTTGGAAATCCTAATTGCCTCTTTAATGCAAGTCTCCTAATAACTAATGACACTAAACGAAATAAATGGTCGCATTGCGTCGCAAAATACGCCAAACATATTCGCAAAACAAAATAAAACGAAACATTGTGTAATTATAATAACATTAATTTGATTTACAAAAAAAATATTTAAAAAAAAATCTACGTAGAATATAAAATTATTTAAGCAACAGGTCAATTTTTGAATTCAGAAATTTATTATTTGAATGATTCTGAAATTATATTTATTAAATGTAGTAAAGAGAAAATTAAATTAATCAGTTGTAACTTAATTACTTAATTTCTATCATTATGAAAGAAAAACTTACATTGGTTTAATATAAAAATACATTAAACTAAAAAAATGTAACATTAATTAGCAAATTATTAAATTTAATAATTATTATTTCTATATATATTCTTATATAAATTTTATGGAAGGACGTATTACCCGACACTTCAAATTAGCATATTAAACACAATTCAATTTATATTTTTTTAATTACAAGTGCTTCGAAAATTAATTAACTTACTTAATAGGTATATATTTCATTATATAGATGAAATCATTAATAGTGAAAATTATAATCAATCTATAGAATGATTATAACGAAATTGCATATAAAATGATTTTTTTTTAATTAGTTTTCAACTCTATTACTATTAAATACTTTCTGAGTAATTGTCGAATGTTCTTAAAATTAAATCATAGTTTCAACGTTTTATATCATACTATAAATTTAAAATCCACACAATTTGATTATTCAGGGGTCAAAAATGACCTTTTGTCCAATAAAAAATATAAATGACTCATTTTAAATTAGAGTTTATACAAAAACCAACTTAAAAAAAACGGTTTTGGCATCTTAATTTGTATATAAAACCGGTTTAAACCGCTTATCAAATTTGCAGAAAAATAAAAAAAGGAGATTTTACAATTTATTTACCGAAATAGAAAAAATACTGACTATCTAGAAAACGTCTTAAGAGCTTTGAATAATGAACCAAATTATTCATTCTTCTCTTTATAACCTGTAAATTCAAATCTTCATGTTTTTGAAGATATTTATGATTTGATCTTTTTAAAGCAATCTATGATTTGTTTTTCTTCTTCGCCGCTTTTTCATCATAGCAGTCATCTTCTATTTAATAAATTGGATACCATCTTGATAATATTTGTCCAAAAACTTACTGAAGGTTATGAAAGAAATAAGCTAGACGTGTTTGTCTAAACGTTCTGTGGATTTTGTAAATTAACTAAAAACCTTACTACACTAAAACCTTACAACTTTATTTTTTTTTCAATTCACGTAACAGAGACGATTTTGTGTTAACATTTTTATGTTTTTAATCAAATAATTAAAATAATTAATTAAGCCTAGGCTCAAAAACCGTTTTTTAATTGGAAAAAAAACGGTTTTCGAATTACTTAAATTTCCTCTAAAAAACGGTTTTCAAAATCCCTATTTTAAGTGTAGATATTTAATATTCATTTCAAATATATTATTTCTATTATTTTACAAACTTAAATTGAAAATAAAAGAGTATATTTAAGTAAATTTATAATAAGCATAACTTAATTTTCTAATATTTTTTTTAAGAATACTAGAAATACTGTACATTAATATATTTCAGCTTTATTTGGATAATGTATTTACTGTTGTCACAATGAAAATCGGTTTGGCTTTTATAGAGATTTTACGATTGTCCATAAACCTGAAATGACCGTAATTGTTTGCAGCATATTTATAAAATATATATTCATTAAAACACAGCTTTCAATTAGTTGCAATAAATTTTATTTATATTTCCTATAATTATTGATAATAAATCAATTGAATTTTTCATTCTTTTTAACCCTTTGATCCTAAATTAGAGAATACAAATTGAATAAATAAATATTTAAGTATAAGATGCAATTTACCAGTATTCAATAACCAACATGTTTTATGTGATTAATAATAATATAAATGTATTTATATATTCTTAGTACAACTTTTAGTCATTTAAATAAATTATTAGAAATGTTATTTAATTAGCTTAATATAAAGAAATTAAGTTAAAATATATCAAACAATTTATATGAGAAATAATATAGACGATTTTTGTATAAGACATTGAAGTTTTCACTTTCTTCAAGAATATGTAAATGTTTTATCACAACCAAATAATAAAACGGTAAAATTGTATAAACATTACATGAATTATTATACGAAAAATGGTTTCGGTTTTCTAACAAAAGATGTCTTCTATACACAGCAATTCACTGCGGCTTCGATCATTCCGGATTAACTATAGTACAGTTTAAAAATTTTAATTGAACAAAATAAAAATATGTTCTAAAAAAGTACACAAAATTGGTTTTTATACAGAAATTATTGTTCTTATCTTTTGTACAGTCAATTTTGTTTTATATATATATGTATTAGTTGCTCGGTTAGTCCGGTTTCAAACAGGGATATTGGTGAAAGCATAATCGCATTATATTATGTATTCATATATATTTCTTGTTACAATAATTAAATAAGGAATAATAATATTTTGCAATTTGCATTAGTATTGTAATACAGATATACTGAAAATATAATATTCAGTTGAAAAAAGTGTTGACAAAATCACGTTATTATTCAAAGAGTTAATATTACTAATGGCATGAAGAAAGAAAGTTTATAGACAGTTCCATTGCGGATTTTACAACTTTATCCCACGCTGCGAATGAAATGTGTAAGATTAGCATGCAAATACACTCTCCGCTATTGAAGCGCAATTAAAACGTTACGAGACAAGTTCCATAATTGTGCACGTTTCGCTGTTCAGTTCGAGTTGGTAAACATACGAGACACCAGAAATAGGCTAGACCGTGGGATTTGCGGGATGGCGGAAAACGTCGGGCGCGGGCAGCTCAATAAAGAGGAAAAAAACCACGCGGTTTTATTACATTGAACTGTAATAAAAGTTGATTTTTACATCCGGAAGGAAATGAAAATGAAAGGAAACCGCGAATGATAGGTAGCGTTGCGTAAGGTAAACGTACACCTGGATGATTTTGAGAATCGATTGGCTGGCTCCAATAACAAGTACAAAGTGCCCGCCCTGGTCCACCCTGTTATTGAATTAAACTGGTAATTTGATTCCGTCCAATTTAAATCCACATCAAATGCAACCGATCGGCAAACGCCAGGAATCCATCTGCAATTGAAATAACTATATCAGTTCGTACATAGTTTGTTTATTTTTGCATTAATATCTATGCTATTTACGCTTTATGTGGTTTCAGTTTCAAAAAGTAGCTTAAAAAAGTAATATAAATGCAATGTGTAAGTCTTTGACAGTTAATTCGTTCCAAAATTTTTGTGTAAGTCGAAAACCGAGTAAATCGAAAAATATAAAAATAGGCTGAAAGACTTAAGTCGATAGCCCTTTGGTTGCATTGTAACTAATAAATATTATTATTACTATTATCATAAAAATAATATGTGTATAATTGCAGGAATATTAAGTTTTCAGTGTTGAAACTTTCATGCAAACACGAATTGTAGAATTCTATATTAATATTTGTTGATGATGTTAGATTTTGATCAGTTATTAACCAGTGTTTAAGTAATACGATTAATCGTTTGGCATGTACGCGTTTTATAGATTTGAAGGTTATGTAACAAGAATAATTATTCGGCGTATACCTATAGTAATCATTTTGGAAATTTGAAGATTAAGACATATTTTAAGGTTAGGTAATAAGAATAATCGTTCGACGGTTACTTTTCTTGAAGATTTGAAGTTTAAGTAACAAGAAGAATTATTCGGCGTGTACCTATAGTGTAAAGGTTCTAGTATCATTAATTAACATAAGTATTAAACTAATCGGCGAGTGCTCATAGGAAATCCTCCAAAAAAATTTAAGGTTAGGTAATAATAATACTTATAGTAATTCATTTTGATTTATATGTCAGATCATCATTAGTAGTTCTAGTACTAATATTCTTAAAGATGTCAGTACCGTCAATCGCCAAGCTACCTGAGACAAAGGTACTTACTCAATCGGAGAGTATTTCGTTTTGAAATTTAGAGGTTAGAATATATATTTTAAATTATCATCAGACATTTTAGGTTAGGTAATACTTCTTTTGGAAATTTGTAGATTATGTAACAATAATCATGTATCCATAGTAATTGCCAGGATAACAAAAGTAAAAATATGCATCACAATTTCTTCTATCAATTGTTCATCCTTATGTTTCAATCGAATCGAGATGACGAAGACGAAGACGAGTCACGGCCGGCGTTATATAACAATTCCGAACGGGGAAATATTCGTGAAAGAGAGAGGAAGGACGAAATGAAAAAGTGATATCCTATTCAGAGCGAGAATATTTAGTGGTTGCGAGCTTCGGAATAATGGGGCCCCGAAGACAATTCGTCTATTTAGGACGCATTTCAAAAGTTATAGAAAGCGTCGATTTCAATATCTTTTGTTCTAGATATTTCATATAACGCCCGCCGGATTATTTCAAGTATTCCGCAGAGTGCAGAGTTAGTTATGTAATAACTGGTTTCTACCGAAATACCAACATAACAAAAAAAAACATGCAACAGCTGTGTTTGTATTAAAACTTTGAATACGTAGAATATAGTACGAGTTTCGACATAGAAAAATGAGAATTTTAACTGTAAATTACGAGAGAAAATAAATGGATTCGGATAAAGCAAAATCAGTAGGATTTTTTTTGAGAAACATAAACAAAATCCTATTCTAAATTTTGTCATTAATTTTTATATACGAATTGAATCATCTCTACCAGCGGTCGACAACCGATTTTTTTTTTGGTCCGCAGAGTAGTTATATATTGCAATTTTTGTTTTTATTATTTTCTGATTTCACTTTTTTCGACTAATGCATTTTAATCAAAATTCACAGTTCAGTGATCCGTAAGGTCAAAAAGGTGGACGACCGCTGATATTTAATATGTTGCATTATTCATTAATGGAACATGTACATGAATACCTCGCACATTGCAGGAAATCGATTCCGCCAATGTTTAAAACCGGACTAATCGAGAAAGATACTTGATTTTGTAGAGAGATAAAAAGATCATGTGTGTATAAAAAAATATAATAAAATCATAGACAAAAAGTTTGTAAACCAAATAATTTTAACAGGTTACAGACGGAACGTTTTCAACCTTAAAAATACCATAATTATATTAATATAACTGTACAAATTTTATAGCTTCAAATATTTTCTTTCAAAATTTAGAGAAATCATATCTACACTTAACAATAAACAAAATTGGTAGTACACATGCATACAAAAGCCGCAAATCTATACATATTATACAGAATATAACAAGAAATTGGAGAGATCAAACAACATGGAAAATGACAAACTTTCTAACATAAGTAACAACAACAATATAATTGTTATTTAAAAAATGTTCCAAGTTTAATTATTAATACCCAAATTGGATTTTTGTTTTATTTCACTTCACTATAAAATGTTATTATTATGTAAGTTCTGTGCATTTTGTTTTAAATATCGCATCTGTCAATTATTTAAAATTGCGCCATCTAGAATCTATATTCAGAACTACATTTAAAGTGTCCTACATGTTTGTTTAACCACTATAAATATGTGTGCAAGGACCTCAACACGCATCTATATTCATATTCCATGAATACGAAATGCGTTCAAATTAAAACCAACTTTGTGTTCGAGTCAGAACCAGTAAAGCACGGAAGTCGCTGGATGCTCGGACAAAAACACAAATTAATGAAAATACAATTACCATCGGCAATTTCCATTGTAACGATTTCAACGTTTTGTTCCTTTCTCGTGGAAACGAATAAATGAAAAAAAAAGGAAACATTCAAGCAACAATATGGATATGCGAGTCCGATACTGAATTGTTTACGTAATTACCGAGGGACCACTTTTGTTTGCGAATTATGAATAATTGAATTTTGCGACGCAATTAGGCGACTAATTCGTATCGGATTGCGGAGAGGCCGCAATCGCCAAAACGAACAGATGTATTGTAATGCAGTGCTGCACGCATTCATGACCAGAACCAGAACCAATAATTTCCCTATTACCATTGTTAATAATAATACTAATGAACGCATTGTTTTTGTCTGTTTCTGTGTTTTAGGAGAAAACAGAGGCATACTTTCTAGGAATATTCTGTGTTGAAGCTTCGTTGAAGATACTAGCGTTAGGTTTTGTTTTACATAGAGGATCATACCTTAGGAACATTTGGAACATTATGGATTTCTTTGTCGTGCTAACAGGGTGAGTGAGACTATTACCTAGTGGGATTTATTAAACGTGTAGGCAATAAGATGGTTTATATAAGTTGTGTCTTTTGATGTCATGTAACATTAACTCTCTTTGATTTTCTTGTGATTCTTTCTTGTTTTTTTGTTTCGTTATATATTTTTTGTTTTCTTTACATTTTTTTCGTTCGTTTTCCGATTTCGTTACTTCGTTAATTTTCAGTTGGAATTCTTTACGTTCTTGTTTTCGATTTGTTCGATTTTTGTTAATGTTGTTGTTGTTGATGATTATTTGTATGTGGATGATTCGGTTTGCGTGCGTCCATACGTACGTACGTATGTATGAATGGTTGTGTGTACGTGGGTGGGTGTGTATAGATGGACGTATGCGTGCGTATTCCGAGCGTATTTATTATGCGAGTATGTAATCGTGGGACGGAAATTGTGCCGTAAATCTTGCAGCAATGCCTGCCGGGTGCGCAACATCAATTGGTGATGTTTAATAATATAAGCTCAAATAAAAATGTTTCCATAAATATATATACATACAGATTTATTTGTTTGTCTGATGGACTTGCTCTTCTCTCGCTCGCACTTTCTGGTTCTCCATTTATCAATTGCGCATATAAATCATTTAATTCCATATTGATTCATTCGATATTCTATGGACTGGCAACGTTGTTCTCGATTTGTAGTACAACGCTCCTGACTATTGTTTCAAAATGCGCTATCTAGCAACTAAAATTAGAACTACTTTAAAAGTTTCCAGCTGTTCACATAAATATAACTTACCTTAAATACAAACTCTAGTTTTGTTCCATGCAATCAAATCTATATTTTATTAAATTAAGAACAAAAATGCCCAATTAAACAAAATAAATATACACGTTTCCGTTTCACACAAATTTTACTAGAATCTAAATATTAAAAAACGCAATTGATTCACGTGTGCTAACAACGACGTAACGACGTTTTCCATATGTTCAAATCTAATTTATAATAAAAGACCAAAAAATGCAGCATATGTTCGTCGTACATTATGTCGTATATATTCATCATGTGTATTGCTTATGACGAATATATTTACATCATGAAAATGTGTTTTTAATGATTATGTCAAAAATATACGTAATCGTTTCTATCAATTGAGATGAAATGTGTCGATCGCAGTAAATATAAGTAAGTATGGAATTTGACAAGTTAAAATTTTATATAAAAAATATATGCAAATTTATATATTAATAACCCCTTAAGTTATTATGTCGTATATATTTGTCTTGCGTAGCGCTTATGACGAATATATTCGCATCATGAATTTTCTTCTTGTTCTTAATGATTATATCGCATATATACATAATCGTTCCTAGTAATAGAAAAGAAATGTGCGCATTTCAGTAAATAGAATTAAGTATGGAATATCACAAGTTAAAATTATATAAAAAATATATGCAAATTTATATATTAATAACCTCTTAACTGATTATGTCGTATATATTCGTATTGCGTAGCGCTTATGACGAATATATTCGCATCATGAATTTTCTTGGTGTTCTTAATGATTATATCGAATATATACATAATCGTTCCTAGTAATAGAGAAGAAATGTGCGCATTTCAGTAAATAAAATTAAGTATGGAATTTTATAAGTTAAAATTTTATATAAAAAATATATGTAAATTTATATATTATATGTATTATATGTATAGCGCTTATGTATTCTGCGATATAGAAAACATAACGTGAACTTCATTCTATGTTTGCTCTTCAATGCGTTAACTTAGTACAATTGAAATAATATTATTATGTACGTAGCCACTATGGGAGCCACTTCATACAATACATCACAGTGTTAAAGTAAAATAAAACTATTTCAATAAAAGTATGTTTACATGGATCAATCAACTCCAAAAATACTCTCGTTTTATAATTAATAACATTTACTTAATAGAACATACACAACCCTCAATTAATGTAAGAAATAAGAAAATCGTAAGAATGAATTTCTCAAATAATTCAAGATAAAAAAATTAACCAATTACAAAAATGCACACTTATAATTTTAAAACTTCGTGAAAATTAAAAATTCTCATATTTTTTTAGACTAAATTATTAAATTGAAATTAGCTGAAAGATTATCAATATTTGTAGAAATAATAATTTGATCTGAAATAATCTAAAATATATATTAAAAACCTTTAATAACATCAAAATAGAGGAATTAAGAACAGTCTGGGAATCAAGAACTTTTAAAGTGCTAAAATTCTTCATTTTTCATACATATTTTAGACATTTACAATTTGTAATTTCTTAATTACTTTGTACAAATTATTTACTTAATTAAGATCTGTATAATATTAACGTTCGAAAATACAATATGTTTAATCAAATCAAAAATTCAAAAATACTCGTAGTTTATAATTACAATAAATTAAAGAATTGTGTAACTATTCTTCTTTCACAATTGAAAAAAATATTACTATTAGAAAAAATTGAAAATTTTAAGATTTGCGTATGATTTCCCACATAATTTAAGTTAAAAAAGTAACAAATTACAATATTAAACATGTTTCGTGTTAAAACTTTGAGAATAGAATTCCTCTTCCTGTTTCAAGACTAAATTATCAAATTTAAGTTAGCTGAATGATTGAGAAAATCTGTAGAAATAATAATTTGATCTGAAATAATCTAAAATATTTATTAAAAACCTTCAAAAATAACAAAATAGAGGATTTTTTTCGAACATTTTCAATGTTAAAATAAACTTCAATATAAAAAATTAAAGCACTTTAGCATTTTAATTTTAAAAGGAATACTTAAAATTAAAATGCTAAAGTGCTTTAATTTTAATACATATTTTAGACATTTACAGTTTGTTATATCTTGATTATTTTGTGCAAATTAGTATATATGTTTTTAATCCATTTTTTTAAAGATAATAAAGAATGATCTATCCTATTATCACCATTATTGAAATGAAATACACATATTTTTAAAGATCAATAATATCAAAGCAATAAAATGCATTTACATTAATTGTTTCAAGAATATATACTTTTATAAAGTAGTAAATCAACTGAAATATGTTTGTTAAACGAAAAAGTACCTTACAATGATTGATTACACGTTCTAAAAACTGACATTTTCGTATTCTATAGGCCAGAAATTTTAATTATACTGCTTTTACTTAATTTGAACAAGACCGAATTGAAAAAGTGTGTCTGACAAATAAAGTTTGCTTTTTTATAAAAAAAAATAGTAATATTTTTACCAGAATCTAAAATCAATAATTATATAAATTAAATGTTTTAACTTATATCTTTTTATATAAACTGAAATAAACAAATAAACTTTTACAAACGTATAAGAGTAAAAATATTTACTAACCCGGCGAATCCACCATTTTTTATATGATTTTATATCATTTATTGATTGAATTTACCATAATAGTTTATATTAATTAATTGCAATTAATTGCAATTGAATGCAAAAAATTGATTTACATTGTCTCATAAACATATATTAATCAATTAAATGTTCTATATTTTTTTCAATACATATAACTCGATGGTTAGATAACATTAATGCTGATGTGAATGTAAGAAATATCACTGAAGTAGTAGAATAAGAAAAAAAGATACAATTTTCTTGTTAATACCGAATATCATAGTTGATGAATAGCACGAAATACAAGGCGATAAATTATTTTATTACAGTGGGCAAGAATAACAAGCGGAGCGTAAAAGAATTATACTGTCCGTGGAATCTTCTTCTCTTTCTTATTTTTTTTTTATTTGCGAGAATATATGATCCATTCCGTAATAAATTTAAACGCTACTCTTTCTCTACCTTCCTTTCTTCCATTTATTTATTATTTTTATTATTCTCACAAATTTTAGATTTACTTCCACAAATAAAATACAAATAAATATAAACCACAATCTAAAATATTAGTTTATTTGAATAAATAATTTTTTTTCTCATCTAATTATGGTTGAAGTGATCAAGAATTGTTATAAAAATGTAAATTCTCGAATAATTATGAAAAGTTCCAATTTAATAATTTAGTTTGTCATTATTTAATTACATAAAATTTGCACCAAAATCTGTTAACTAACCCTTGGTTAATTTATTATCCTTTACAACTAACTATTCATTCAATTTCATGTTAACATACCTTAAATAGTATAGTATATAGTATACTAAATAAAGTTGTAGAAAATTATGTAATTTCTCCATGAATTAACAAGAGAAAGGAGGTGCAAGTTTCTAATTTAATTAACACTCTCAGATTGTCATTATAAATTAAATTATAAAATATTGCACTAAAATCTATGAACTAACGATTCGTTAATTTGATTGGGCCCTAACAACTAACTATTCATTCAATTTCATGTTAAATAATAAAAAATAAAATAAAATTCAATTAATTAACAACTCAAACCCAAAAAAAAAATTAATGCAATATTAACAATTCGTTAATTTTAAATTAAATAACATTTAAATCTCTTAAACTACTCTTGAAAGTACACTAAAATAGTACAATAGTTAATTTGATTGACCCTCAACAACTAAATGTCCATTCAATTTCATGTTAAATAATACCAAAAAATAATGAAATTCAATTAATTAACAACTTAAACCCAAAAAAAGAATACAAAATTAACGAATTGTTAAATAGTACTTCAATTTCTTAACCTATTCTTACAAGTACACTAAAAAAGTTTATTTTTAGCAATAGTAGGAAATTATGTAATTGCTCTTTGAATTAACAAGAGAAATGAAATGTTTGTTAGATTATTAAAAAAAAACAGAAATAAATTTCAAATATTTGAATAATTTTACATGTTAATGTTAAATAAAGAAATATTATTTCAGTAATAAAAACGTACAAATATTTATGTTGTAATTTTACGTAATTAAATACATTTACTTACTATTACTCAGGCAATCCGAGAACAAACAAAAAAACAGGACTAATCGAGGCATTCGACTGAAAGTGTTTTTTGTCACGACAT